TTTTTAATTGTAATGTTAGCATGATAATAACATGCAATGGTAATGGTTTCAATAATAATGGTTTGGACAGTAGTTGGCAGTGTACCATGTCTTACTCACTTGACCACTCCAAATTTCTCTCTAAACCCTCAAATTCCATTATGTTCAAACATATTGGTTGGGTTCTTTCCATATAGTTTTTCATTGTGTGTTTACCGTCAAACTTGAGTATACTAAATGGGGTAATTTTTGATTGGAAATTTAGTTGATTTGATTTAGTTTAGTTCAGTTACCCTTCTGCATATTTGCATTTATAGGTTCATTTTACTTTTCAGCTATTGAATTATCATTAAAAGAGAATCAGCAATCGCCAAAGGCTCAATCAAGCTTATATCCTTCAACTAGCCTTGGTGCTAGTTCAACAGCCCGAGAACCAGAGGCTCGAAAAGTTCGGGCTCTCTATGACTTTGAAGCAGCTGAAGATAATGAACTGACATTTTCTGCTGGTGAAATAAGTATGTTGCATCTGTATATGTTTTAATTGTGTGAATGATTAAGAATGATGTTAGAAATGTATTATTTCTGTTATTATTTTTAAGTTCACATCTTGGATGACTCTGATCCTAATTGGTGGAAGGGCTACAATCATCGAGGAGAAGGATTGTTTCCTGCCAACTTTGTGACAGCAGACCTTTCTGTTGAACCTGAACAATTCAGTGAGTTCAATTTCATAACAAAGAAAATATGCATATAAATGTATAGATGTACATAAGTTTTTTGTTACTTTGAAAGCAAAATTGTCCTGCTTTCAAATGTTTCCACTCTGTTTTAGTACATGTACTCATTATTCTACTATGCTGAGTAAAGGGAGGGGGGGTTAGGGATTCTGGAGTTGATAAGAACATGCAGAAATTAGAATTCTCTCTTGTATAGCAAAACACATTTTTTATGAAAAATAAATCAAATAAACATGTTCAACAATACTACTATACCATGATTGGCAGGTTTCATTTTCATAAACACTCCCAATTCTTGTGTTCAGGCTTTATTGTTTTTATTTTTGCTCATTTTGTTCCTTTGTATGAAAATATAATGTATCATGTAAGTCGTGAAAATCAAGTTGAGATTTTTAGAGGCTTTTATTGAATTGTGAAAAATAACTAATTGTAACAAAGTCATGTATATGAGCAATATATGTGAATATACGTATTTTGTGCGCTTTAGCGATATTATTAGAAAGAATAACTTCCTGGTTTAGTATTCATCTATTTTTGCATTGTTGCTCCCTGGAATTAGTACTCTCCCATTGACTGTGAATTTAAGAAATTGTGAAATTTGGTTATAGGGAATCAGTCACTATCTCCGATTCACGTCCATAACAAATAAATCCTAAGTGATTCGGTAATAGTTAAAACTCAACATTGGTTATAATTAGAGCTCGGAAGTTATGGCATTTATTTTCACTAAAATAGGCCGACAAAAAGACATTTATTCTTAGTGAAATAGATGTGTAAGAAAGCATTTATTCTAGCTAAAGTAGAGGTGCAAAACATCAAATAAACAATGAAAAATCACATTTAAAAGAAATTGTTGCAAAACATTAAGGCTATTCTTTACATATTGGAGGGGGGACGGGATAGCAGATTTCATTCCCCATGTCACTATAGGTTTGCCAACACAAAAAATGGTCATTATTCACAGTTCGTTCTGCCAAGCTTCGTAATGTAAGTAGGTATTAGTAGTAGTCAGAGGTTAATCGTTCCAACAGGAATTGGATAACTTTATCAAATATTGTGGGAAAATTAGTCAGTATACAGTGGTGTTGTAAACATCGACTCATTCCCACTCAAATGTCATGTTCAAATTCTGGGGCATTATTAACCTCTACTGGGGACAGAGGAAAGAGATTTGGAGCAGGGAACTGAGGAATCACTATTGAAAGGCAATGGTGTGGCACGCCTTGCGTCGTCTCCCGCATTGTAGTTTGCAGCAAAATAATTTGGACAGCTACCTGATAGAATATTTTTGGTGAAAAGATTGCAAAAGGATGGGTAGAGATCCATTCCTTTTTCTGGTTGAACATGTAATATTGCATTTTGAGTCTTATGATTTGTCTAAAGAAAGTGTACTTATAATTTTTAATTGTTTTATACACACTCTGTAATATTTTCCTTCACTGCTTTAGATTAGAGAAGATTGCGTTATATTACAGGTCATTCATTCATGGTTATGTTCTTTCTACGTGAAATATATGTAAGTTTCCATAAGTTGGTAGTTATACGGGGCAGAACAGCATGACTTGTTCGCAGGTTGGTATCAAGACAAAAGGCCAATGGAATGCGCTGCAACCCCTAACATGTAAAAGACAATCCAAAATTAATAATAGAAATGATTCACATTTTTATTCTTAACTAAAATTGTAAGAAAATGATCTTTTCTTTTTAATCTTGGTTCCACAAGACCATCCGGGATGATGGCTATGAATTTATTCTGCTTGTGACGCTGTCGTTTTGAAATGCTATTGTGGACTCCTATTTGATTCTTTTAAATGGCATCAGTGAAAAAATAATTACATTTTTTGTTCTTTTCATTTGGGTAATTGCCAGCTTTGAGAAGGGTATATCATATACAGAGAGCTGTCCTTAAAAACAATCAGTCATACTCGATAGTAGGATGGGATTCCTTGTCAGTGACGAAAGCTGTTAGCATCAATGAAAGAATCCAAAATCTGGACTGGTATAGTCTTCCTTTTCAATTACAATATTTAACACAGCCTCAGATTCCACAGAAAGACAAAACATGTCTGCACCTCTATATTGTTCATGCTTATAGATTGATCCAGCTTGATTGAGATCAGTGCCAGGAGAGAGAGCAAAAAACAAAAACTTGAAAGGCAAAAATAAGCCAAAATGTTTAAAATAGGCATCAGAAGCTAAAATAAAAAAGTGAAAGAAAAAGAAAAGAAAGGGGGGAATAGAATGAAAATCCATTAAAATAATTCCAGAAGTACAATTAAGTGATTGCCTTATTTTAAGTCGTAAAATTGTAACACTGGCAAAAAGGCATTTTGCCTAACTTCTGGACCCTAGTTATAATGAACATAATAAACACAACTTCGAGGGAAAAAATTGCCTCAGTTCTGCAAATTCATATAACGTGGATTTGCAGATACAGGATCTCATGAGTTGTATTCGTAACATTGGTAATGATTGAAAAGGATTTAGGGAAGTGTTACTGAGGCAATTGCTTCATCTCTTCAGTGGTGGTTCTGCCCAGCCTGAAGACTTTACAGTCGCAGGGTACGAGTTGAGAGCTAGTTCAATTAAATTTAGCTTGGACATCATGAATGTGGTAAAAGTGACTTGAACCGAAGGAGGCAAGTGTAATAACGAAAAATATTCATAACTTAGAGTGATCCGACAGTGCAAGAAGTGCTGGTATTTAGTTTGCAGTAAGTTAGTGTGTGGTCAGTGTAGAATAAAGTATATTGAACTGAAATAATAACACCAATATTACAATTATTTTTCTTCTTATTATTACGATTATTGTTTTTATAATATTATTGTCATTATAATATTTTTATTATAATATTTATTATTTTGATTGTTGTTAAGATTATATACAACTGACATAATCAGACATTTATAACCAAAATTGATCAAAAGAGAACATTCAGTCACATACTGATGTTAACAACAATATGCTACATTCGAAACCAATTAGTTGAAAACTATTATAGTTTGGGATTACGGATTTAGTGAAACACAAATGTTGGTCCCCAGGGCGTTGACTATATATTTATGCCGTTGTGATGTTCGCAAATGTAGACTGAATGGATATACTTTTCCATTTTGTACTTCAAAATCAAATATTATAGGGAGATGTAGTAGCTTTCCCGAAATTGACTTTTAATTTAATGAATTTAAGTTTTACCACTTTTCTTCTTATGAATGGTTAGTTTGCATGTTAAATATTGACATTAGTTTCTCCAATTGATGAAAGCTAAATGAATATGTTTCTTGTTTTCCCAACAAGAGGAAAAATTAAATTGTAGGAAAACAAAACTCTGAGCTTATTTGATTGATTTTGAGATAAAATTCATACTTGTTTGAGCTTTTTCTTTCATTTAATACTGGGAGTAAATTCTGTACATTCTGGGAATAATTCTGTACATTCTTCACAATGGTGCATACAAATAAAAAAAAATTCAAATGAAGGTAAGTCTAGTAAAATTTGTTCAAGAGAACAGATTTCTGACAATTCTTTCATAATTTTGAGTACAAGATGACAAAATTAATAACGCAATTGTTCAAATTATTAAGAAACAATAATGAACTTATACTTAACATAATTTCTTCATAGTCTTGAACAGCTAAGAGACAGTAGCATTAGCTTGCAGCAAATAAAATTGTGAAATTTGTGTGCATTTCTTAGGCTTCAAAAATTAGATAATAGAAACTAGCTTTCCTTCAACCTGTTTTTTGTTAATGTGAGTTAACTTAAAACAATACATTTTGTCTTCAATAACCTCATATATAAACCTCATATATTTATATTACAAAACTCATTCCTTTGTTGAAGTTTGAGCATATGTGTTTTTTTGTTATTGTTAAATTGATTTGGCATTGTTCTTCTGTAGAGCTAGATCAGAATAAGAAAGCTGTACAGTTCAATGAAGAGGTGCAAGTGAAGACTGTAGAAACACCAGTTGCTGAAGTGGAAATTGATGAACAGAAGATAGACAGGTTAGATCTATATTTTTCTTATAAAGTAAGATCTTCAGGTTTGTCAATATTACATTTTCTGCTTTTTTGTTTCTGAGATTAAAATAGGTTATGAAACCCAGACGTTGGATTTCTGCTACTGCTGCTCACTTGGGCATCTGACTGTAATACCAATATTGATTATTATTTTATTTTCCAAGTTAGTTTATTCTTTTTATCTTCTTATTGGAACCATTAGACATGTCAGGGACTCACTGTCTTTTTTCTTTTTAGGCAATTGTTCAACTAGGTATTATTCATTATTTAACATTGGTGCAACATTATTTTTTGCCCAAATTTTAATTGTTATACAAATATTGCTAATTTTCTCATTTACATTGCAATAAGAGATCTGGTAAACAGAGTGATATTAAGCATGTTGCAACTCATCAGTCATAAGTTTAATGTTCTCTGAAAGTGCCCATTCTTCTGAATTTTAATTGTTTTCTTTTTAATGTGAATCAGTTTTGAATTGTAGCATCTCTGACCTTCACAGTTGCGTTTATTTGCTAGTGCAACCCTTCATGAGAAATTCTTATCGTGGAGCATTTTAAATTAGAGTCCTCTGTGAAACTCGCACTGAAATTTTCTGAGCATTCTTTTGTTTAAGTGATATGCTTTAAAAACAGCATATAATACCAAAAATATGCTTTTAACATATATACATAAACACAATATACATATTTCATGTTCTGTTGTTTTTATCCGTATTAAATAATAATTATTAGAAGTAGTAGACAAATTTAAAACATTTTCAAAATCAGTGATATTCAAAATATTGTTGAATTAAATTTTTTTTTCTGCATGGTTTGAAATTACATATTAGCTTGGGAAAGGAAAGTAAATATACTGCAAAAGGTGGAGAAGCCAGTAAAATTTGTACTACAAAAAGGAAACAATCTATTAAAATTGTTTTCATTACATCCAGTTTAACATTTATATTTTGTTGCTGTAGGTTATTACATTTGTTGCACGAGGCTGATCCTTGTGAGGATCAGACAGATTCTGAAGAAATTGTCACTCTTGAAGGTAAGTTGAAACATTAAGTGGGTTTAATTCAGTTCTCAGGAACTTTAAAGTGAAAGAATATAATTCCATCTAGTTCAGAAAGATTTTAATTTACTTCATGAAGAACTTTGTCTTATTTTGGCATAGGGAGAAGTGAGTTTCCACCACACTTTTTATAGTCAAATTTTGTTTTTGTGATTATTCGTGCTGAGAAAATAAAGATGGTTTGTTTTAAAATGTATTTAGTGTGGAAATCAGTCTACTATTCGCCTATTCTGTTGGAATTATTGAATTTATAAGTACTTGCGAAGAAAATCAAATTACGTGATGGAGAATAACAGCTTCTCGTATGGTCACTTGGAGAAAGGCTCACTTCCCTTCCATATTAGTAATATGTATCTTTAGAATTTTGTGAAATGAAAAAATATTAATAAAAATTAATACAAATGAAACTACTGGTGTCACAGATTGGCACAGTCTTTTTTGTACAAGTTATTTTGCTCATCTCTTGAGTCTAGACGAGCTCTTTGATGTTGCCCCATGTAAACCTGATTGCATATTCAAATTTTCATTGTAAACTTTGGGACCGCTTTTGAAACAAAGCCATTTATTACAAAACCTCAATTGCATTAATAAATGGTACATGCATAAATAATTATCGTGAAAAAAATTTTATTTAAAGAAAAAAAAATAACTATCTTCAATAATGTAGTTGTAGGACAAGCTCCAAAGAAATTCAATCTTTGGCAACTTTCGATAATTCAAAGTTGACAGTTAAAATTGTCCCAATGACAAATGCTCTTTTTGTAGGAGTATTTCACTTTATTCATACAAGAATAAGAAAGAGTTTGGAGCCACTTTTGAGAACATTTTGAAAATGGCACATGGACATACAAAATGTTAAGACATCTTTTCAAAATTGTAGGGTTTCTGGTGATTGATTAGGGAATTTTCATTTAGGCAAAAGTCCTATGCATACTTTTAAGCATTAGTCTTGCTCACATTTGATAGACAAAAAAATGGACAGACATTTTCAAAAAATACTTTTTTGGTATTAGGGATCTCCAAAACCTGTATTTTGGTTGAAATCTTGATATCAATTTACTGCAGCATTTCATAACTTTCTCTACACTGTATATTACTCTGTATATACATATATACACGAGAAAGTAAAAAAAAAAAAAAAACAATATTTACAAACTCTGAACTGCCTATATGGTTATAGAGTCCCTTTAAAATTACAAGTACTCCATTATAAGCCGACACAGATTGTAAGCCAAGAAACAGACATCAGGAAATAGTGAACGAAATAGGGGGGGGGGGGAAGGAAATTTATTTATTTAAACATAAGAAATATATTTGATGCTTAACACACTCGGACCACTTATTTTTATAGATTTTAGAGATTGACTCAGACATCATTATCAGAAAACTAAGATTCCTCACTTGACTCTTTATCACTTTTGTCCATGAAAAGGAAGTATTCGTCACTACTATCAAGGACATTTGAGATAGAACACTTTTTAAAAGCCCTTGCGACAACTTCTTTAGGAATACTCTTCCAGGCGTCATCTGACTAAGCGCACACTTGCAATAGACTAGCCCGATATCACTGAAAAAGAATGACTGGTGGGGTTTGTCCTATGCTTGGTGGCTGGAACCATGTGTGTATCGCAAGTAAGGCAAACACCTCTTTACCCCAACTGTCACTCAGAAATTTTATCAAATATTATTAACTAGGTGACCCGGCGAACTTTGTTCCGCCTTAATGGCAATAAATAAGCAGTTTTTTTAATTGGA